ATGAATCAAGGTATCACCATCCGAATAAGTTAATTATTTTCACTTAATATAGGATCCAGTTAAAGAATATCATCTATATGTTTATGGTGGTGATGTCTTAATTGACGGGTATCTCGTTTTCCCCATTTTTTTTAAAGTAGAAATTGCGAAGTAATTTGCGCAACTAGAAATAGATAAAAGCCTTTCAATTTAGTGTAATCAAGTATTATTTCAAACACTGTATTTTCCGGTAGTTGATGGGTTTTTGATAGAGTCGGTTTTTAATCAAACTATGAACTGCTATTGGATTGATTTTTATTGGATTAAATGTTGTTCGTCCAAACGCAACCTAAATTATGGGAGAATGTACAATTTTAAATCCTACTTTAAAACGTCTCAGGTGAATTGAATTCACAAAATTTAACAGAATATTTTATTTCGACCCAATATTTGTGTGTTTCATATAAAGAATAAACAAATAAATTGTTGCATCATATTTAACATGACTGATATTTTCATCTTTTCTGATCGAGCTGGTAATCACGATGTTATTGTGTTATACCACAAACAACTTACACTTTGATTGTTTATTATTGCAAAACAAAATTTAAAGACAATCATTTTTTGGTCATCTTTTTGTTTGTGGAAACACAACAAGATAGGTTGTGAAGGCTTTTCCCACAACTCATGTTCTTTTGATGAATTGACAAATGTACGAATTGGTGCTTCTAAATTTCAGCAAGTCTTCACGTTGTAAAAGTTGATTGGCCAAGAAAGTGATTAATGCTCTCTTTGAAAATTTGATTACAAAATCTTTTATTTCACCTAAAAATCGTAATAAAAATGCAACGCCTGACAAAGAGAGTGGAAACAACTGACTCATTTATATATTATTTAGATTAATAAAAACTACCTTTTTTTAATGCTATTTTGCTGACTAATCCAAACAAATGAACAGTCATTTAGCCTTTATCATTAATCGACACAATTTAATAAATCATGACCTCTAAAAATGACTGTTGACAATAAATAAAACTGTTTCTCTTTATCACTTATTCTCATTCAGCTGATTACTCATAAATGCACAAACATTTATATTCTAATATAACTTGTATATATTGGAATATCATTGTTGCGTATATTATCATCACAACTGACAAGAAGTTATCTTTTTAAATTTTTAATAGTCTGTCATTTATTTTCCGAAACAGCTTAACATAACAGAGAAGTATTCGGTAACTACTGTTTCTTGTTATTGGGATATTATGAGGTTAAAATGAAAGAATGACAAAGTATAAAATCCTCTTACAAAAACAACATAAACTTGATGCCTATTTAACTAATGATTTATACACAGTATGAATTTCAGGCTGGTGATGAAACGTTCCAATATAAGTTATGCAGCAAAACTAACCTTTTGTAAAATATTGTTTGTATGTGTCATGTAATGGCGCCATAACAAGGGTTTGAAGATTTTTTTAAAGTTTAACTTACATATGTTACATGGTAAGTGTAATTGAATGGCGCCATTCCACATGTCAACAACATTACAATGTTTCCTGCTATGCGTTTAAACATAGGGTCACATTTTAAACTAGTTAGAAATAGGGTGTGGGTGATAGTTCATCTTAACTCTATCGTGCCAAAGCCAATTATAGGTATGATAATCATCATTTTCTCAGATCATCATTATCGCAACCATATTTCTATGACATTTTGTAAAGTCTGGTCTGTGCAATTTTTCTACATTCTTCTTGTTACTTTTCTTCTTTAGCCTTTACCCCTACCCACAGTCACAACTGATCCGAGAATTAACATAGTTTAAGAAAATGCAGATTACTTAAGTATCTGGTCAGCTATCATATTCTTCCGTAACCATAATGGGATTTAAAGCTGATTAGCAGGCGCGTATTACAACAAATGTCACAAACTAACCAGTAAATTATTACAAATCTGGAAAAAAACACCGTTGTTATTTTTTATTTTCGAAAAAATCCTGACTTGAAAAACAAATCAGTTCTATTTAATTTAATTTACTAGTTTCAATAATAATAATAATAGTAATAATAATAAGAGAAATTTTCATCTCAGAAGGGCGATGAATTGTGTTATTAATACATCGTTTTAAATACTCGGCTTCATATGGTATTTAATACATGTTGTGCATAAACTAATATGGAAATATAACTAATCTCTTTAGTAAAAATAATTAACCCTTATGAACACTTTTGGAAGAATAAACTGGTCACAAATGTATTTTTAGTGTAGTTTAGTGTTCAAATATCAGTCTTTATGGATAACAATTGTCTGACCACCGTTATTGTGGTTGAAAATAACAAATTTGATTATTCCAAGTTTCGATTACAGTAATCTGCTTAGTGATTGCTGTAAATAGCCTGTAAATTCGTAGGCCGATGAGCTGTACGCTACTAAAATGATGCTCTGCAATCTTTTCCCTTTACTAATTGTAGACAGGTTACATTGTGTTTCAGAGAAAGCTTTTCTGGAATCCTACGAGTGTGTTCGGACTAACTATGCTATTCATTTATCGAGTTATAAATCTTTCTTTCTATTTGGTTTAATTCGTCTTATTAAAAACTGTACATCTTAGCTTAAAGTCTCACATTCGTGTACCGTTCACAATCGGATATCACTTAGGAACTAACTGTTTATTATAAACTAAAGCTACCATAACGTGGGTGTGTTGAAGTTGAGTGTCATTATTTACCTAATTCGAATAAGAAAACTTTTGTGACATCAGGATATCCAGAAATGTGATTTTTTAAATTTTCTTTCCCGACCTATCAAACCATAGTTGATTCAGAGTACAGACCTCGAATGAATGACTGCAAACAAACTGCTTCGATGACTTAGTGTTTATCAGACTCTACTAAACACTATACGGGTTGTTTGTTGCATCTCACGTTCCATGTCTCTTTTCGAGCTTTTTAAACAAGGTTTATGACTCTGTTGTTAGCTTGAAAACGCATATTCATTTCGAATAAATTACACGTTTGTTTACAGTAGTGAAATATATACATGAAAACAAAAAATAACAGAATTTCTCTCAAAAAGTTCTTTGGTGTAAATTCTTAAATATCGTGACAGCACCTTGATGAAAAATTAACACAATAAATCAAATATAAAACAACCTTCAAATAAAATTTGTGGATTAGTTGCACTATATAAGCTTAGTTACGCGTCTAAATCTTAGGTAAGGATAAGAAATTATTTCGCTGCCGAGAGAGAACAAAACCATTCTCGTTTAGACTCAGCACCACCTAAATGGAAACCGTGCATACTTACTCACTGATCTACTCTTGTCACCTCTAATAGAGCATAGACTGCCAACCAGGTTTCTTCATCGAGCTATGTCCTCCGTCTTGCCGTTCCCATCTACTATTCATTCTTTTCATGTCCGCGTGTTCTGTCTCTTTTCCTCTGACCTTGAGGATTCCAAGTTAGAGTGATTTCCACAATGTGTCCTGTCCACCTCTAGTGCATTTTCCTGAGCTAGAATCTGGTTTGTTTTCTCCTATACAAGGTTGTGCTCATGGTGTCTTTCCAACGGGTCCACAATATGTTGTCTAGACAACTGTTAACAAACACCTATATATTTCGGATGATGGATTTCGTAATTATCCAACTTTCTGCTTCATACAATAGGGCTGTCCTGGCGTTCATATTGTGATTTTTGTGTTGGTTGAGAGTTGTTTTGAGTTCCATGTTTCATGTAATGGCAGAAATGTCACCCTGGCTTTGCTAATCCTTGTCTTTAGATCTATGTCAGGTCCACTTCGTTTATCAATGATGCTGCTCAGATTTGTAAAATTTTCCAAATCATCTAAATCTCCTCCATCAAGTGCAATTCGGTTGATGCATGTTGTGTTGTATGAGGGGGTCTTGACTTGTCTCTTGAGTATGTCGATACCTACTGTTGCAGAGACTGCTACAGCACTGACAGTCTTCTCCCGCATTTGTTGCTGTGTATGGGATAGAAGAAGTGGTCATTTGTGAAGTTCAAATTGTCAAGCTGCACCCATGCTGTCCACTATGTTTCCCTTTAAATATATGGATGTTTTCATGATCCAGTGAGCTACGAACAGAAAGAGGAAGGACGAGAGTAGTTAGCCTTGTGTAAAAGTGGTCTTTACATAGAATGAATCTGTGAGCTGGTCTGCATAGATGATTTTGTGGTGTAGTCGGTTGTGATAATTCCGTATGATTTGGAAGATGTTTTCAGGCACATCGTGGGCTTGAAGAGGCCTCAAATTTTTCATCCTGTCCGCTCTGTCAAATGCTTTCTCGTAATAAATGAGACAGTAAATCCAGTCACTAACCTTAAGTTTATTTACTACGTTATTATATACGGAGTACTGGTGTCTGGATGGTAATAATTTATGATCTTTGGCAAACCTGATGTTTACAAAGAACAACAGTATTGTACCAGAATGAGAAAATGCTGAATTTAAAACTACATCAAACAAATTGTATGCATTTAAAAAGTTATTTTATAAAACAATTCTAAAGATTCGGAAATTTTTACCGATAAGTGATTTTATAGCTTGCATAGTACGCATTCTGAACCATAACGTCCAGGGTACGTATCCCATCGAGGTCATATATGCGAAGTTTGGATAGTTATATGCTAGAATGAGCCAATTTTTCCCGGCTTCCAGTGGTGATCATAATGACGTCAATTTGTAACAATTATCACCTACATATATGGTTTGTATAAACTTCAAAGAATTTAAGACACGCTAAATAGGTGATAACATACATTTTTCACTGAATTCTGTTTTTACTCATTCAATACAGTGAATTCATCGTCATGCACATATAATCGTGATAATCACTTGCAATCTATGGAGATATTTTCTACCTGATATTTCCAGCATGTCGATCGTATCTGGTCAAAAGTGAGATAATTTTTAAGGCTTTTTGATGGATACAGTTGTATAACAGAAACTAGTATGATTACTCTGTTGTTGTTCTTCCTTTGTTTGGTTTGTAATATTTAGCTCCAAATAGTTATACTATTGATAATCGATTAACACATCGTCTAAATTTGTCACAATCTGGCAAATGTGTTGGATTCGGTTCAACAGCAAAACGTATGAATGATAAGGTGATTTATGGCAGAAAATTTAATGATAGACAAGATGATATTCCTGGTCCTGGACAGTATAACCCACAAAAATGTGATGAAAAATATACTTCAAAAGCTTTTAGTATTCCAAAGGCTGAAAGGGAAACTTCAATGCCCCAGTCGGTAGGAAAATTTATTAGAACTCTAATTTCTGATGAAATTAATTAAACTCTTTTAAAACGGTTTTGAGTATCCAAAAGAATGGTGTAATTTAGAGTTTTTCTTCATTTTTTTTATTCTTCTATCATCACTAATTTTAGAAGTAAGAAGTTAAAGTGATTGAGCACAACTTTATTTATCAGTTACTAATAAATGAGTTATATCCAGCATAAGCGAAAATTACTTGGCCCTACTTCAATACTTGTGTAATTTATAATTAAATTTCCACTGAATATCACAGTTTATGTTGTGCTTGTAGTTTGTTTCAATCCGATAACCGTTCAGTGAATAATATCACCTCATGTGAGGTGATTGATTTTTCTAGTATAATCAATGACATATGTATGCGGACACAAAAAGAAAGATCACTGTCTAAGTGACAGATAATGATTCCGAACATGTTTAAATAACAACTGCCTGTACATTTCATCCTACCTTCCGGAAAGATGCAACGGTTTATACACAGAGTTGTAACTTGTAACATATTTATTTTGTTCAGTTTATCGACAGTAACATTTTTCCACTGTGATTCTGATTTTGAGTTAGTAGGGCTCATTACAAAAGTTGTAATTGCAATTAGATCATAACCAATATCCTAAACTATGTATTTTCTCATACACTAGGAACTTAACTATCTTAGTGAAGTTTCAGAATAAATACCCATAAGTCGTATATTTACAAAACAGCTTAATGCCTTATTTTAATGTTTTTGTTTTCAAATTTATAGACAGTACCCCCACCTGGCTCATACGATTTTGGAAAATCTTTTGATGTGACACAATGTAAACGGATCCCCGCTTTACCTCACACTGTAGAAGGTAGGCAGAGAAGAAACTGCTTCTCAAATACTGAAGAAAGATTCGGAAAACATTCTGCGTTGGGTCCAAAAGACCCTGACATGCCAGGCAAGCAACATTTTTTGAAAGCTTGTTCAGAATTCATGTCAAGTGTTCTGTCATATGCAATAGAGTTCGTACGATATTTTCCGTTAAAGGAAAACTGTTTAGACAAATATCTGAAAAAAATATTCACAAATCTTTTTTTTATGTAAGCAATATGTGACTATTAATGCATTGGGAAAACTAATCCTTTATCACAGGTACTGTACTAACATTGAGTTCATTGACTTAAATTTGTAATTCACGTACTAGTCAGTGAACTGCAACTCATACCAGTCGTTTTTGTAAAAACCAAACAATCATATTCTCTTATCTTATTGCTCTGTAGAAGTAACTATGTTGAAGAGAGACAAATATTAGATCACTCAAATCGGTTTTTAAAATGTATAAAACTTTCAAAGAAAAATAAACGATTGTGATGCGCTAACGAATACATCATCTAAGATTCGATTAAGTATAAAAGAACTAGACGTATTTCATTGTCAAAATTATTATGTTTCAGTTTTGTAGTTTTGATCTCCCCAAGTAACAATAGGTGCCAGTACAACATAATTTATTGCAAGTTTCGTATAACTAAAGAGTATTAAGAAATTTCCTTTTATATTCTATATATATATATATATATATATATATATATATATATATATATATATATTTCAACCAAGCCTTACTCCTTTTCGATATTTAATTCACAAATTCAGTTGCATTTGTTGGTATAGTGACATGTGGATTGCGACCTCCCAGTTGTTTCTTCTTACAGCTATATGTTCCAAAATCTCGCTTCACATATGCGGGTACATACAAGTAACACAGATGAAATTAGGGTCGTTGATGATTTTTCCGAACTCGTTCACACTATGATCGTAATTCGTAACAGAGTTTTTCACAAGGTTGTTGCTTTAAGATACGGTATTTCATCAGTTTAGTGTTGGAAATGATGGAAAAAAATCGAACAAGCTCACCTATCTGGATTTTGACTATGAAACTCCATGCTTTATATAGATAAGCAGATAAATCTACGCTAACTACTGGTGTTGAGGTAATATATGCAACATTTTATTTGACATTATTTCAAACTATGTGTTGTTCACATCAAATCTTTCAATTTTCTTTTTTACATTTAAGGTAAAAACTATTCATAGAAGTGAATTTTTGAAGTTATTATCTTTTATGTGGTTGAAAATCCATCATTTTAAGAATAGTTCGTTTGCACTTTTGTTTTTCTAAGTTATAGAATGAGGTTCACATAGTTAACCTCAGTTTTTAATAACTTGGTGACTTTGAATCATATCGGAAACTTGAAGTGAAACTCAGAAGTAACTTCCTATTTGAATGCCTTGAGTTATATGCAGAAAATAAAACTAGTTATTTATAAAATCTTGAAGGGAATAATAAGTCAGAAGTTGATACGTGAGTTTTGTCAGAGAAAAGTGTAGCAAAAACAATGTCAGTAAAAAAGTGTCGATCCTCTTCATAATGACTGATCATACAGGTTGACAAAATTTTTTTTTAGAAGTTTTCCATCAACTGTTGACACAATATGTCTTTTCTGTAAACAGGTCCAGCAGAATATTGCATATTGGAAAATAAAAATCAAAAAGGAAAGTTTGTTTATCAGTCGGAGCGATTCAAAGAATCAGAAAAAGAACAACTGCCTGGTCCAGCAGATTACGAGGTAATCATTAACTAAACTAAAAAAATAATGGTAGATTTGTGATATTCCAATGAGCAAGAATTTGAGTTTCTGAAGTTTTGTCGGTTTTTTCATCGATGATTAAACATTAGTAGGCTAATTACGCGACTTGAAGCCTTTATGTTTGGTTTCTGGAGACCACGTCATTGTTTATGTTGATGAGTCTGACAGTAGGGAGAATCATTTGTTCAGTGCTTTACTTTTTTCGGCGGTTCTTCAAGAATAAATCTATGAAATCTTTTACAATCAATAATTTGAATACTTTTCTTTTGTAATAAGAGTTAGCTGATGCAGAAGCAAGATTATTCTATATCCGACATTTCACAAACGCCAGGATGTAGAAAAATTAGTAAAAGTGATTAAAACTTGTTTTCCAGTTGTTAATTACTAAACACAAAAGCAGATATTCGAAAAGTTTCACTTTTTAAAAAACTAACATTTTTTATGAAAAATCTTTCATGCACCCAAAAATGATTTCGAAAAAGCACCCTGTGAATACCCTTAATTTATAAAAGTTTTCTAAAAAGAGAATTTTCTCTTTCATATAGTTTTAAAACAATTAGTCCCTTTGATAAATTCAGATAATGAGACGAGAAGACGGTTATCCTAATTATGTAGTATATTTGTGTAATGCACATACATGTTAGGTAAACCATAAAATGTCAACTAGAGAAATTAAAAGGTTAGGGAAACAAAGATTATAATAATAATAAGGTCCCAAATATATCACATAACTCTGCTACCCTTCGTCTTCTCACCTCATGATCCAAATTTTTGGGTTCACCTATGATATTTGATCAATACAGTACTTATAAATAAAATAAACGTATGAACATTTCAAGAACAGAAGGGACAAACTAAGGACACTGACTTGAGTCGTTTTTATTGTATCAGATTGCAGTTAGCTACTTATAAGTTACATTGAGGAGAGGTTAGTCCGTTGGTAAAACAAATACTGACAAGTTCGACCGAAGCTTGTATCAATAACAATACATTCGATTAAGTATGTAGGCTGGAAACCCTCTTACCAGGTTTCATTCCAGTTGGCATCTGTCGTTAAGGCATCGTTGTAGACTCGAGAGTATTGATAATCCTTGTAAAGTTTAACATATATCACTCAGTCTCATAATGTCAGACGTTACCGTTTGGTTGTTCGGTCTGCAAGACGCCTGTGCTCCATTTTTTTTAAAATAGTTATTTATTTAGGTAATTCATCTCACTATCTTCCGAGGCAAAATTATTTTTGAGTTTGCAGATCGGTTATTTTTGATTATTGTGTATTTCGCTGGGAATTGGCAGATATTTTGTCAATCTCACAAAAGACGGATCGATTTTTAGTGTGAACTGCGACCGGATTCAACATCTTCAATAACCAATGAAGTACCTTTGTGATAAGTCGTCATCTTGGTATTCATTATACAGCGGTTTATAGATACGTGGTTTGTGCATAAGGAAGTGTTCACGTGAATGGTAAAGACATAGTCTTTTTCTCTCACTGAAACCTTTCACAGTAAAAGGGATATTTACTGCATAATATTTCGTCTGAACTGTTGTATATATAATTCATTTGTAATGGTTTTCTGAATCTTCCCACTGATGTTCAGAACCACAAGGGATCAGTCTTCTTCACATTTATTGGGAATTGTTTCGATATTGCATTTAGGTGGCATACATTATCAGCAGAGAATGATAGTGGCTAGCAGTGGAATGCCGAGAATGAGTTCCATCTTATCCAGGACTCGTCAGCCGGATATGCCTGAGTCTCAGAGTTAATGTTCACTCTGGAACCATCTCCAAATGTCCAGATGGTCACTAGCTTCTGCGATGGATTGAAGATTAGTTCGTTTGTATTGGTTATCTGAATGGTGGTGTTTGAAGCTAACGGTACTGGGTTAGAGTCTCTGAATGACACATCAACCCTCAGATGCAGGTACATTTAGGTGATGAGTCCCGAATATGATGAAACGCTTGTCCTGGATTCCACTGTTAGCCTCTATCAACCTCCGCTATATATATAGAACTATATTTCTCAATCGATAGGTTTCCTTTGATTTATATTATCTATAATAACTATGTAATTGTGTAAACATGTGTAGACACAAAACAATAAGTTCACACACTGATTAGATAAGAAAAAATTTGGTTAATTTCCTGTCCATTTTCTTTGTCAATATAAAAGTAATGAATAGATTATAAAAGTTCTGGTTAATAAAACTTAGTTTCTTTTTTTAAATAAATTATGTATATATATGTATTTCAGATGTATACACTACACATGGGTGATTTTTTCAAAACCTAGAAAACAGATGTTATCATTACTTGTTATTTTTCCCTTTTATTATTCAACTGCAGAATTCAGTAACATGTACAGACATATCCCATTATAATCTTAGCTTTGTATAGTAAAGACATACACAAGGATAATTTTTTTTCTTTCAACTGAGTCTTTAGAAGCTATGTAATCTAATTTCTCCTGCTATATTGAACAAATATTAACCAATAAATTGAAAGGAAATACTTCATGTTACTGAATTACAGAAAGCTTAATTACATTGGTCTCAGGCAAAAATTATTTCCTGTGCTTTCTGACACAATAGCAAACTAGTTTGCACTACGAATCTCTTAGCAATATAGGATATCTAAATTAATGCTCAACTTTTCAGAATTGATAAAGTTCAGTCGATTGATGAATTTGCTAAGTGCATAAAACTGTTTGGTTTAACAACATAGCGCAATACAACTAGTTATAAATGACTTAGATTCATCAACAGCTGTTCATGAATAAGTACTTTCAAACTGTTTAAGCTTACCAATAAAACCAATGTTGAAAGTTAAGGCTTCTTCTTTAACGTCAAACTTAATCATCTGTTCGATATTTCCTCCGACCCTTATTTGAAATTCCTGCCAAACTACAAATTAGTTATCGATATTACTTTTACTCCTTGAAACCCTTAGCAGAAATATTGTTGTTTATGAATACCGATATGAATGTTGCATAAATAAAATCACTTTATTTTACTTTGATAAACCTACATTAGTTTTAATGAAGTACATATTTTTACACATTCACTTTTTCTGAATTACTTATGCAATGATTATATGAAGCAATAGGACGAGCTAATCTTTTGTATTTAATTTCATTGAAGAAAATATTTGACAATCAGGAGAAAAAGGTTTCTTGTATGGCTTGAATCAAACCACAACTAGAGGCCATTAATAATAAGAATAAAATTAAAAGCAGTCTGATTTATACCGCTTATCATTTACTTACTTACTTACTACTCACGCCTGTTACCCTCAATGGAGCATAGGCCACCGACCAGTATTCTCCAATCTACTATACCGCTTATCATGGAAGAATGAATAACTTTGAAGTCTTACTTTTCGTAATTAAAAGCAACCAAGTATCTATACTTTCGCTTATATTTGATAGTCTCAAAAGTTGTTTGTTTTCATACATTAGATTTGATATCATATAGCGTTAACTATTCAATATCAAAAGATATCTTACGGTCTTTCATTTTTCATTCTGAATATTTTTGAATTGTACCCGGGTGGATATTCTAATTTTTTCTATTGATTCATCCCTGAAATGCCTTTCTACAACTAATAGAGTTTAAGATCTCGAAAAATGAAGTACTAGTTTTTTTATTTGATGAGCGTTGCAATGTTCCTATACTTAGCATAGCAATAGCAACTGATATGTATGAGTACATTGCGTTAATTACTGTAAGAATAGGGTATGAGCTTGACCATTAATTTGGCTTTTTCATGATACATTATCTAAAAATGTATGATTTGTAAAAGGCAACATGATTTTAGTTGGCTTAGAACAAACTCAAACGCAAACAGGACTTAACTTGTTTGAAATGTGTGAAAATTAATTCAAGTTATTTGCAAGCTGATAAATTTCCTTATCCAGATATTTTACGCAAAATATTCAGGTTTTGAGCCGTTAGATCTCATATGTACTCAAAATGTACACATGTTGAGTACATATGCATAAATAATAACATCATATTTCATATGTTATTCATTTCTTCTTCTACCCATTAATCTCTTTGTCATTTTTTTTCTGTTAACTATCTACATAAATTTACTTAGTTTTGAATCGAAATATGGTTAGGAAATAAAAATTCATTTTAATACATAAATCTACAGAAAGTAATAGAAGCATCGGTATAATTTATACTTTATAGATAAAGTCTACGTGTATATGCGTATATTCACATTCTTCTTGCATATTTACATCTAAAAATTGATATTAACTCGAGTTCAGTGTTGCTACAAATATTTGGTGTTTATTTTACACCAATACTTCGTTACACACATAGTTTTTCAAACGTAGACAAAGCGATGCAAAATTAACAAAATATAATAAAGGAAAAATAGTTAAACTTGCATAGATATGCATTAACCAGCTGGTTAACAGATGTCTTCTTTTTTTTGAAAAAAAATGAACTAACACTATTACCCACCCCCTCCTTCTCTTGCCGTATATCCATCTCTTATGTTTTTTTCTTTTTACACTTTCAATGTATGCTTACATAAATAGGGTGGTGCTAGCGGTGTGTGTTTGTTAAAATCTATCACTACTAGAAAAACTTGTTGAGTTGCTCTAATAAATTTTAAAATATTTTTCTTCAGACTATGCGGATGCATATACATTTTAATTATCAACGGTTATGTCACCTAGTATATTTATCATCAATAGTTTTTCTTCATATAATCTCTTGTGGTCACTAATAAAAAAAGTAGGTTTCAGCTTTCTGCCTGTTTCTTTACAAAGTCTTTTCTTACGGATTTTTATCAACTTGTAGCTGTTTTGTGTAAAACATTTATTTTCTGTATGTATATACATACTGTATTAAACTAAGTCAAATGCTTATCTGCTTGCAAACAGCTGATTTTCTCAATGGATTTCATTGATTTTTACACAGCTCTAAAACTCAATTAGGGATCAAGAAAACTGCCAAACAATT